CCCTCAGTTGCAGCACCCGGTCGAGTCGGCTCCAGACTTCGTCCTTCGTCAACTTCTCCAGCGACGCGCGGTCGGGATCTGTCGGGCCGGAGTGCATCCACATCGGCCGCCTCCTCTCCGCCAGCGGGGCGACCCGACGGTGGAAGGTGTGGAACACCCGCACCCCGTCAAGGCCGTGCTGCATCAGCTTCTGGAGCTCCGCCTCGATGACCTCCAGCTTGTGTTTGCCAACTGGCGGGCTCCAACGACCAGCTCTCCCGCCTCTCTAGCCTTCTTCCGGTGAACGGCGGGAATGATGTCTCTGCTGGGTTCCTGATGTAGAACCACTCCCCATGCCACCTCCGATTGGAGTCGCAGGGGGAGTACGCGTGGTAGGAGCCCGATGGCCTCGACTTCTTCTGCAGGGCGAAACCCCCCACCGGTGCGGTCCTGGGCGGCTTCCCCTCCGACAAAGCTCGTCCGGTGAAGATCCGCCGGAAGAGGTCCACGTGCGGCTCCATCCCGAGGAAGGCCTCGCAGACAGTGACGAAGCCGGCAACGTGCAGCACCCCAGTCGGATTGATGTGCTGCAGCTCTAGGCCCCACTCATTGAGGAGCCCGCGCAGGAACCAGTGCGCGGGATATCCTAGCCCGCGTTCATGGAAGGCGAGGAAGGATACGACCTTGTCGGCCCGAGGTCGCGGAACGGCTTCCCTCGGCGCAGGAGCCCTCCAGTGTGCCACCTTCTTCGGCAGGAGCAGACCCTTCTCGGCAAACACGGCCAGCACCACCTCGTCCACATTAGATGGCCTCTAGCTCGACATCGCGCTTCGGACTCACGAATGGATCTGTGAGTTCTCTCCCTCGCTTTACCCTCTCACTTAGGAACCGCCGCGGCACACGAACGTGCTTGACGAAAAGGAAGAAGGTGGAGGAGCAGCAGTTGGAGAATAGGCGAAGGATTGGGACGAAAACCCTCTCCCTTCCCCTATTTAAGGAGGAGACGCGTGGCAGTTGGAGAAAGACGAAGGATTGGGGCAAAAAACCCTCTCCCTTCCCCCATTCAATGCGGATGGGATGCGGTGGGACGCGTCTGACTGATGGGAAGCGCCCTGCCCAACTAAACAACGCCTGGTTAGATGGGACGTGGCTCGGGCATGGCCCACCACTACTGCACGCTGGGCACAGGTAACAAGGCACAACCGCACGCAGACGGCCCTCGCCTCCCCAAGCCGGACTTGGAAGGGCCCAACGATGGGATCCCCATCAAGGAGAGACCAATGGGCTTCCTGAGTCGATCGGACGGCTCATGCGACTGCCGAGAGACAGGTAAGGAGCAGTGGGATGCCCCATGTGGGCCATACCATCCCCGTCACGAACGCGGACACAGGATCCCATTCGGACATATCCGATAAAAGCTCCCCAAAACCCCTCACTCGAGTCATCAAGGTAACTTTACCAAACCATCTTACTTTATTTTTGATGCATGATCATTCATCTATGCAATCATACACGCATTCACACATTCATCTATGCAATCATACACGCATTCACACATTCATCCATGCAATCATTCATTCATCCCATACATCCAAAGCATTGCATATGCAATTGATGCATCACAACGCTTCGTGTTGCGTCACGAAACGGTAGTCGCCTCATTCAACATGAGCGACAACTGACCGGGGTTCGAAGGCCGGCCCACGAAGTGCTCGAGGCCGCCTTGCGTCAAATAGAGCCAGGGGAGAAAACGCGATTGGCCCCAACGGCCCTCGCCCAATCTACCTAGAAGCAGACAGGATCATCTCAAACTTCTTGTTCGATCCTAATCTCGAGCCATGCCCACAGAATCTCCATCGAGGGGAGGCCAGCGGGCCACTTGAGTCGGTCTCCGGAACGACCGGGCATCTGCAAGGAGGCGGGTTAAGGAGCGGTGGAATGCCACATGAGGGCTATGCCGACCCCGTCACGAACGACGGACCCGGATTCCGCTCGAACGCGCCCGTTAGTGAGCTCACCGAGTGCGTCACTCGAGGCATCGAGGCAAGCGACGTTAGCTCAGCCCCTCCGGTTGTGGAAACCACGGATGGGGTAACGCACGGAACTAGACCTACCCCTACCGAACCCAACAGGGCTCAGGGGCTCAGGTCGCCCGACGCCGACTCGGGAAATCAACCGACCACGCGGATCGTAGGCGGGACAAACACAGGCGAGCACCCCGAAACGGCAAAAACATGGGAATCTGGCCCCTAGGAAAGAGTACCAAGATGCTCAGCCTCCAACCGACTCACCAGTCGGACGCAAGGCTCGAGGGTTACACCCACCGGGTACGCTCACGCTCACCCGCTGGCAAGACAAAAAAAAATCCCCCTGACGATTCTACCCCAATCGCCCGAGGGCTCGGGGGCTACACCCACCGGGTCCGCTCGCGCGCACCCGCTGTCAAAACGAAAAATCCCCTAGACGATTCTACCCGAATCGTCTGGGGGCTCTCTTCGGTTCATAAACCGGGGTCCCTAATGGACCTGCTTCCCAGCAAAGCCTCGGCCTAGCAGGCGACATTACAAGCAACGCACAACTCCTGGACCGGACCGGAAGGCCTCCAAACCTCTACTTACAGCTCTTCTCCGACCGGCGCGGTCGGAGCTGACTGGGAAACGACCGAACGGGGACGCCCGCTCGGTAGAGGACCCAAGGATTAGGCGGAGCAGATAAGGTGAGGCTCTCAAGTCAAACCGCAATACCGAGGACCGTACCCTGCACACCTGCAGGACAGTACTGTCAGACCATGTTAGAAGGCTGCTCTGCAACCTTCCAAACAAGTCAGAACACGAACAGTGTTGTGGGCGCCGACATTTGTCCTACAATATGGTAGGCGTCGACATTTGCCATACCATAAGACGACAATGGAGCCTATCACATGCATCTGGGCGTCAACAGTATTGTGGGTGTCGACAAACCGTCTTGTACCCAATGGCGTGGGCAACAAGACTAGGTAGTACTCTCTCTCTCTCACTTGTAAATCCATCTCCTTCATCTATAAAAGGGGATGTGCTCTCTCCTAAAAAGACGATTCAGATGATTGATTCTAATTCTCCCTGCTTGGCTCTAGAACTCAAAAGCCAGACAGAGCATACATTCGAACACTTAGCGCACATTGGAGCTCCCACCACTTTTGGCCCTTCGGTCCGGAGTCCGACCGGACCTCTGATACCCCCATCTTACTCCCACTCGTTTGTAACCCCACAGCAAACTTTGAGCACCTAGGCTCGAGAATAAAGTCTCCGACCGACTCAAATTGGACGTAGGGCACGTTGCCTGAACCAGTATAAACCCTTTGTCATTGAGTGTTAGGCCACATCCGATCACGACGTACGGTAAAACTATAAATATTTACGTGTTGGTCACTTTTCGCACCGACACTTATGTTTTAAAATTGTATATGCTGACACAATATGATCCAGAGAAGAAACAATCCATGATTTTGTAATATACCCCCTCCATCCAGTATTCACAGGCGCTTAAACAGTTTTCACCAAGACCAAGATCATTAACTCGCATTAATCCTTTTCCTCGCAGCCGCAAAAACGCTTCGGTTTGCAAACTGGCTGCTGGCCTGCATGCCGCACCATCCAATTGCATGTGTGGTAATAATTAGGGGCAAAGCTTTGCAGTTGGAAACAAACTAGCAAGTACTAGTCCGCGCGGTGCTGGCTGGGTAAATGAGTCGCCGTAACTAAATGTGGAAAGAGTGAGTGCACACAACGGGAAACAAAGCATGCAACAGCTACTGCACCTGTGAATGCTGGAAACTTTTCCAGACACCAGTACGCCTGTGAATGCTGGATGGAGGGAATAACTCTTTTTAGGGGTGACCAGGTGGGCATTCAGTTTTTTTGGTTTTGTTATTTTGGTTTTTGGAAATTTTGGCCCCTGACATTCGAAAAACAAAGCAAAGAAATTTCGGTTTCTGAAATTTACAAAAGCACAATAGTTCAGTGAGACTTCTTGGTTTCCACTGATTTTTTCTTTCTTGAACAACGCAGGAGAGCTGCATGTCATTTCATTAACAAAGGAAAAACTTACAAAAATGGGATGGCTAGAAAAAAACTTCCCAACACACCCCACTCACACTACGCCACTGCAAAAGGAAAATCAACTTGTCATACTAGGCCACTAAGGGCTTGGAGCAAGAGACCTCAGGATAAGCTCCTGAAGAGCAGAAGCACCAGCAAATCATACACCCTGAACTCTGTCTCCAGTGGATCAGTGGATCTTAAGCTAGCTGACCCCTGCCACACCTCCGATGCCTGACTATTAGATATGAGAGGGACAGAATCAGACTAAGCAGCACACAAGCGAGAGGGGGGTAGAGTAATACAGAAGAACAGAAGGAGGGAGAAACCTTCTGGAATGTGGGAATCGATTTTTGTGTTCACTGCATCGGTGAATATCCATGGCACCACTTGCATTTCTTCTAGAGGGAGAACGAGAGAAGAATGAATGAGGGGGCTACAAGAGATAGGTGCCATTTGTTGCCACCATCAGACCACGGAGGGCAACAAATGGGCCTTGGCCTTCATGTCGAGGTGGCATCAGCCTAGCTTTCTTCATCATTTATGCTGCAAGAAACTACAGCTGAACTGAAAACTGAGGATATATGTTTGGTTTGGCTTCAGTGTTTGGTGTGTTTTTGCCACCACTAATCTGTTGCTTAAATGATCAAATTCAGTTATTGCACTGAAGACCATCATTAGCCACGACATAACACATCCATTCAAAATTCAATGGAATCAACATCAATGATGCTGTGTATCATGATAATTCAGTGATTATCTCTAACCACGAGAGCTGCAGCTGGCATGAATAGCCTATGGGATATGCAATGCAGAATAATTAAGGGTTTTATGGCTAGCTTTCATCTATCAGTTTTATTCACTTCTGACATGTACTTGATAGTTGCATCACTAGTGGTAAGATTGTTAATCATACTTATAGAGGTAGAAAAAAATTTGATGCAGATTTGCTGAACTGAAGTCCTTTTATGGTATTGAAGATGAGAAACCAACTTCAAGCACATCGGGGCCACAAAAGATGGCTTCTGGTCTTATAAGTACTGATCTTGAACTTTAATCTTGACAAGATTTACACAGTTGATGGATCAGCTGAAAGAACTGGATTTTTTTTACGTTGCATGCAGGTGTTACATTGAAATGTGTGGGGCCATCAATGGGTGAAAAGCAACCACTGACAAAGAAACTGCCTTCTACAGCAACTGTGAGTACTTGTTGGTACTACATAGTTATCCTTATTTATCGGGTTGTTGGTACTACATGGGAGGTTTTAGTTGTATATTGCAGTGCAATGACCGTGGGACATGATTTCCTGATTTTTATTCGAGCTATCTCTTAGCAACAATTGATATGTTAATTTGACTGCTGACTAGTAAAAGTTGCGATCCTAGTAATTCAATGACCCTTGCTTGTTCTTCCATGTATCTAGATGAAATAATGTTCAGACTCCTACGTGTACAGATGGGGAAGTTAAAATCTTTGTGCGAAAGCTTCTTTAAACTGAAGGACATAAAAGTGAGACTGTTTGTCGAAGAAGAGGTATGAATTGTAACTGTATCGTGTACGATTATTGTCTCGTATACCTATTGAAAAGATCTGGAGCTGTACCTTTCATGCATAAAGTCGTGTATGTTGATTACTGTATTTACTGGAACAGGGATGCCCTGTACCACAACTTCTTGAGGAGGACACGGCCTCTCTCATGGAGCTTGGAATTGGCTCGGGCGCGACCATTGTTGTGGACGAAGAGAGTTAGCCAGTCGTCTTCAGAGAAGTCAGGCAACTATATGGCGCAAACTACACTTCAGCTGTTATTAGTCTTTGAAGAGAGAGAAGAGAGCTGACGATGCTCTTCGTTGTCCTGTATATTGCTTTCTGTGGAAATGTGCATTTGATGAATATTGTTGTGGGTTTGGGCTGCAAAATGGATCAGCATGGTAACAACATTGTGAAGACGGTTATTTGTGTTTGACAAGTTAGATTTTCTTTTCTTTTCGTCAATGTAGGCAATTGCATAAAAAAAAAGTTTATATAAAAAAAAGATTTGAAGGTTTGGCCAGGAAGTCCATGCAAAAGCATATGCACCACAATAGAATTGGCTAGCTCCATTAGGGCGCTTCCAACAGTTAAGAGTAATATGCTAGCTTCATTCTCTCCACGTGTCATCTCCTTGACAGCTAAAACGATTATATCTCTCTGACAATCTATATATTGACAGTTCAAAAATTATTATGGCTCACATATTAGTTCTTTGTCTGTCTTAACACACGTGCATGAGCACAGCACCCGAGCTGTGTCCTGTGTGTGCTAGTGGACCTAGTACACTCTCTTTTCATGTTCTCAGTACAACCTACGAAAAAAACTCACGTAGCCTCTTACTGGAGACGCGCTTACTGGGCATTAGCCATTTCTCTCTATCATCAATGGATCGATCCTAATGAGAGTCACGAAGAAAACTGCTACTGAAGCGGATTGAGTAAGCCTATGCTTTTTGAGATGCTCAATCTATAAGGTTCCTTGTTATGAAAGTGGAACATGCCATTTAGTTTCAAATCTTTAGCTTTGCAAGGCCCGATTGCTATTTTAATCCGGGCATCTCAAGGAGTTTTGTAGAAAAACTCTTTATTTACTTTTTAGCAAAAAGTAAAAAAAATACCTTCAACAGTTTAGTAAAAGAGCTTCTCAAAAATAAAAAAATTGCTAAATATTCGAGAGAACTCTCCCCCCAACTAGTGTTTTTCTTGGAAAATCAGAGTAACTTTGATGCATGAGTAAATTATAATTTAAGGTTCCAGATACAAAATTGTTCAGAAAATTAATATAGAGGACTATTGAGAGGAAAACAAATTAAAGTTGCTACTTATTTTATTATCTCGCTAAACTTATTAATTTAACAAGTTAATTATAGGAAACAACTGCAGTTGTTCTAACCAATGTATTTATCCGTATCTGCTCCCCATCCGGTATTTTTCTTGGAAAATCAAAGTAACTTGGATGCATGAGTAAATTATAATTCAAAGTTCTAGATACAAAATCGTTCAGAAAATTAATATAGACAACTATTAGAGAGGAAAAAAAATAAAGTTGCTACCTATTTTATTAACTCACCGAACTTATTAATTTAACAAGTTAATTATAGGAAACCCTTGAAGTTGTTCTAACCAATGTATTTATAGACAATGAGGTAATCCTAATAAGTCCGGTCTCCGTGTTCCAACGATGTCTTCTCAATAACTGTTGCTTACTCCTCCGTCCACAAAAAAATATATAATTTTTTGCTTTTGGGAAGTTAAACAGTTTAAACTTCGACTATGTTTATATAAAAAAGTACAAATATTTTTTGATACAAAATAAATATCATTAGATTAGTTATATAATATATTTTCATAGTAAAGTTATTTGAGACATAAATGGTAATACTATTTACTATAAACCTAGTCAAATCGAGCTAATTTAATCGTCATCGATCTCATAGTTGCATTCTTCTATGAACAGTAATAAAAAATCAAAACCATTGATGAACAATGGTACAAAGTCGCCAATCGTGCAACACTGCTTGAAAGTTACACGTGTCGCCCGTTGGTTGTCAAGGAAGGATGGCCGGTGGGGGTGGAGGTGACGTGATGTCCAAAGTCCATTTTTTTTGAGTCATTGTATTTTTCTGTTCATAGGAAGGAAACAGAGATGTGATTTTTTGTTGTAAAAAAAGCCTATTTTTTATTTGTTTTTGTTTCGGTATTGCTATATGTCAAACGGGTGATTTGGGCTCTTCTGTCAACCGAATTCTGTGATCGACCATGATTCTCTGCTGCACGTACGTAGGGTAGATTCCTCGTCGATCTGACGTGTGTCTGCTACGTGCCATTCGTAACTACACATACTCGTAGCAGGCACGTCAGTTGTTAGTTATCTGGTAATCTGGATACCATATTTAATTTGTTGCATTATCTTCACGTTAAACGTACCCTAATGACAGTGATCAAGCAAGTAGTGATGTGTCTATGTATACCTTCACCGCGTTCTCGGTTGGTTGGTTAAATATCGTTCTTTGGTTAAGTGAAGAAGTATTCTTTGGATTGGTTTGTGTGAGAAAAATATTGTTTCAAATTTAAAATTTACGATCGTTCTGACAATGCACACCACAACCAAACGAATGCGCCGCTTGGCGGCGAGGATCTGGAGGCCGGCGTATTTAACGTCCAGCTGAACTCATTTATGGCCCAGCTCATGCCGCAAAACTCGTCGGCCATGGCCACGGCCTAGTCGTGGTACTCCGTCCTCATCCTAGCTGCGATTTTTTTTTTCTGAAATTTTTGAATAATTTGATGATATTTATAAATAATTTAACATATATTTTTTTTTGATATCTGGAATCCATAAAAATAATTTATAAATTTTGTTTAAAAATTTTAGCATATATTTTATTATCCTCAAACTACACCACCGTGTTTAATAAATTGCACAGAAGAAATTATTATAAATATATTAATAAGTCAGTGTAAATTTAGCTAGAAGATAATGTAAATGTACAAGGAAAATTCAGTTGACAGATGAGACCAAAATAATTGAATGTCAACTGAATTAGTTTGGCTGCAGCTGCAGGATTTGGCGATTTGCACTCCACGTGACGTTGCTTTTTGCCCGCAACTTTTGCTTGCCACGACGGAGGCCAAGATCCAGCGCCTGGGCGTCCGTCCTCCTCCATTCCGGTCCTCCCATCCTTCCATCTCCCGCCCGTGCCTCGTTGGAGCACGAGCACCAAAGGTCCCCGGACCGCGTTCATCCTTTTCTTCTCCTGTTCACCCCTCGTGCGATAACTGGGCAACCGCCGCTGCCGCCCTACGCCAGGTGCCCAGGTCTTCGTCGGGTCCTTCGCCGGCGAGGCGACGAGCACCCACCAGGTATGCGCACCCCCTTCTCTTCCCTTCCTGCCATTTGACTATTTGTATTCGGATCTGGGCCGATTTTACAAGTGTATTATGCCTACTAAACTAAGAATTTTGTGCAAAATTATTGGTTGTGCATGTGTACACCCATACCCAGTACTGCTCCGTCCCTGCCACTGCTCCCTTCAACTCCACCACCAGCACCAGGGGATGCCCCGGGCTTAATTGAATGGGCTCTCTTCTCACCAGGACTGGCGTCCTGCCATGGCTCCAGGCCAAGATTGTTGATCCCGTGCTGCAGGTCATCAGAAGGTAGGGACTCCCATCTGCTGCACTTCTTCTCCCAATTGCTTCATTTCAGTCATAATAATAGTTATTAATGCATCCGTCAGAGGAGCATTTCATGTGTCTGTCCAACTGCTTATTTTCTTCGTTATTAAGTAATACGGTGTATCACTATCACCCGTTCAGCTTTAGATACTTAGATATCTTATTTGAGGTCTTTAATAATCTCTGTTGATTTTGGCATTCAGCTTGGCAGTACCCTGATTCTTTGCATGCATGTCTTCTCCATCTGCTTCTTGAATGAGGTTGTTGACAACCTTCTGTTAGAATGCCGTGCAGGGGAGCAGAACCCAAGCAACTGGCCTTCTCTGCCGCCCTTGGTGTCTGATTGGGATCTTTCCAATATGTGGTAAGGAGCTCCCTAGTATATGCATTTCATCGTCCCACTTTCTTATCATGCAACTAAAGCGTGACCCATGTTGTCTATTCTTCTCTTTTTTTTAGAAGGCATGATTCATTCTTACTCTGTCAAAGTTTCCGGTGACTCATGTTGGTATTCTGTCAAATGACTTCTGGTTCTTAATTCATCCCAACCATCATGTTATTGGTTGTCAATTTAATCGACTCTAAAAGTTTCCCAAAATTTCAATGGTAGTCATGCTCAATCATGCCTGCAAACCAATCCGGCAGTCATGCTTATCACCAATCCTGCATTATATCTATGTCGCTGTGTAACGGGAAACAGTAACCATTATATCAATTGGCTATCCAGCCATATGTTCCTCAAAGCATCATCACGTATCCTTGAGCATTTTGTGATTCCAGGGACCACTGTTATTCTTGGTGCTGGTGCTGTAGCAATGTTGGGAAGTCGTTGCAATGCTGTTACTGTTATGGTTCTAAATTTGGCCGCCACTCCAATTGAGCTAAGGTACACACAGTCAATCTCCTGGTGGCCAAAGCCATACCTGATTGCCTACCAAGGTCTCAAGTCTCTGTGAGGTCATTGCATAGATCAAGCTTGGATTCTAGTAGTATGCTAGTGACTGTCACACCGCTGAGCTCTATTGAGTCTAATTCTGCTCTGCGTCAGTGATCTACTTTATTTTGCTTTACGATTCAATTGAGACATACTTTTGATATGAATAACCAACTGCACAACAGTGGTGTAGGCTTCTAATCCATCATGTTTTTAATTCATTGGTAACTACCTGATGAATTTCTCAGTTCACCAGCAGCGTGTTCGGTAGGCTGGCTGGGGCTGGGGCTGGACCAGCCAGCCCAGCCAGCCATTTGCAGTCTCCAGCCCACTGTATCTTTTTAAAAGTTCAAATAATGGCACCAACAGTAGCTCATGGTGATTTTAACATTTCAAATTCAAACTACCAGCCATGTCATGATCATGCTGACTTCGAAATTCCAGCCAACAACAACAGGTTTAACCATGAATCTACAGTACATATGTTACATCCACACAACACACAATCAACATTTGTTCCATGGATTCACAATAACTTGTACAACACCATGCAGTTTCATTCACCAAGCGTCGATACTCAAAGTCCACGCTATTGGATCTCTTTTCATATGATGCCCATAAAACTCTTTTCCAGAGTACTTCGTACCATCAAGTTCCACCATATCCTTCTTTATCACTGGCTTGAACTTGCCTGATTGCAGAGAACAATGTCAAAAGTTACACTGGAAGTGACAAATGATGCAGCACAAGTTATAGCCAAAATATGATTGCTAATCAACCAAAAAGGGAACAAGAAAGGCATGTCACACATTGGTTGCTACTTGAATAAACATCAATAAGAATGTTAGTAGAACACAGTAGAGTAGCCGTCAGTTGGAAACAAGGTCAAGCAAGAAAATTACCGTGCCTCCTCTCGACATCCATTAGTGATGTCAATGGTGTTGCACCAACAGTCCATTCTTCTACTGGACCTGCAAGGTTGCCAACCTGAGCCAAGAAAAAAAAAGTACAGCAATCAAAACATGCAAGTACATAAGATCAGCCACAATCACATTAAGATCTCCCAGGTACTCCTAATACTGTAGGTGTCTGTTTGCGAATCTCATGTGTCTACATGCCATGACTTTGTATCTGTAACCACTTCGCAGCGCAAGGTGAAATCAAATGTACAAAATTTGATAGGCAACTTTGAATATTGGGATGGTCATGTTTACATAATTGAACATTGGTGCCTATCTTTTACAAGGTACAGTGCAAGTATGCCTCATTTGAGTATGATGGTGCTAATTCAAAGTTTTGAACAAGATAAGCTATTGGATCTCTTTTCATATGATGCCCATAAATCAAAATAAAGCATTGGTGCTTTGGCGCCATCTGATTCTTAAGGATTAGTTACGAGGAATAATAGCAAATGCATCTTTTTGATAAAAGACAGATTCTAAGTTTTGATCAACATGTACTGAAGGCAAACTAACACCTAAAGAAAGGCAAACCATCTGGACACCAAAACAGAAAAGAATAAATTTAGTTGTAACAATCTAAACCCTTTTAATGTGCAAGAAACTAATAGACAACTTTTCGTAGCATCTCACGAACATCTGATATAAAAGGCACAGCTATACGTACCACATGTCAATTTATCTCCTTTATATACACTAGGAAGGGCAGGAAGAGCACCTTTCACTGGTGGGAAGCATCATGACAAGGTCGCCATCCCGGACTCCAATGGCGCTGAGCTTCTCAGCGATTCTATAATTCCTTCCCATTGAGATGAAGCAGCAGCTGCTGCAACAGTGTTCGATTTTGGCCGCACACACACACAGACAGGCAAAACCTACAGTGTGAGATCAAAGCAGTAGCAGCAATGCTTCAGACAGGAAGCTCAATTGAGCGTTTGAGATCCCAGTCCCCGCTCACCTCCAGCTTGAGAAGCACGAAGGACGTCTTCTTCCAACCAGTACAGTTCGTCATACCTCTGAGAACGCATGGTGAATCACAGAAATAGTGTACAAACTACTATGCAATCATACCTCTGAGAACCAGAGTATTACATCACATCACCGATCAGTACAGAACTGGCACTTGTAGTTCTGTCACTACAATTCATCATACATCAATGAACACAATATGATAGTCCCATAAACCTTTTTATTCAAACGACCACAGTCCCACACAACCTTACACACGCACACGACAAGACTGCCATGGAATTGTACCTACAGCTACTGGTTAGTAAAACAACTGCCTGGACCTAAATCAGATATCAGATATTGCTCCACACCGCCGTGGATATCAGCTCCCTAAGTCCAGAGATAGGGGTGTCTAAATTTGGGTGAACCCACTGCGGCACCTCATATGAGGGTGGATCTGCGCCGTACTTACGCATCCACAAAAAATTATCTAAAGGAAAGCATGAAATGATTATCATAGTCTGCTTCATCCTACTGCAGTACGGCACCCCGCCCAGAATATGCCAACGTTCTTTCAACACCCCAAACCTCCTTTCAATTACATTCCGTAACTTTGCATGAATGTAGTTGAATTTCTCCTCCCTCTGCAATTGCTACAAATCTATGCCCCTAAAGTCGTTGATGTGATACCTTGTGTTTTTGTAGGGAGTCATGTAACCTGCCATCTCCTTGTAACCCGCGTCCGCCAGTTGTACCGGCCTACAAGCAATGAAAGTAGCCATCAACTGTCTTAGCAAATTGAACACTAGTATGCTTCAATTCATGTACTGCAAGCAAAAAACAAGGACTGTGAACAGTCAGCCATCACGAACCTGGTGGGGGATGTGGGAATGAAGTGTCTGTTGGCCCACAGTTAGCCTCCCGACCACCGAGATGGCCTCCAGACCACTCCGTTGGTCTCACAGGATCTCCGGCTCACGATAGTGAACCACTCCAGCCGATCTTGCCGAGCACCGGCTCAGGCGAGTGGAGCACTTGACGGTCTCGCCGAAAGCACGCGCTAGTGTTGCCGAGCACCCACTAGCCGTGCAGACCACGTACCGGCGTTGTCCGTACCCACACACTACGGACGAGCTTAGAAGAAGAAGGGAGAACAGAGCAAGCATGCACAATACAAGACAACAGCGTTGGCCGAGATCCTGTCTGTGTGATAGCAAATCTGAGCTCTCTTTACTGAGTTGCCATACATGTCTATTTATATAACTCTAACTATCTAGTCCATGTGCAAACGCCCATGCTTGCACAATAACTAGATAACTGGCGACAGGCTAACTCTGCGGCCATCGCTGCTCTTCTCTCTGATCTTTGCAGGTGAGCCGTCTGGCGCGCCTGCACTGCGCAGACTCTTGTATCACAAATAGGGGGGCAAAGTCGGCGCCGCCTTCCCTTGTTGTGTTCACACACACAGAAGTAGGGCTAAGTCGGCGCCGCCTTCCTCTCATGTGTGTTCACACAAGGTGGCGATGAGATTAGCTAACAATCTTCCCCTAATCCTACTGCTAACCCTTGTACCCCATCCATGCCGATCATCTCCTTCAGCTCCGTGAGTCGAAGTTGTCCGAGCGGCTTGGTGAGGACGTCTGCGAGCTGCCGAGCAGTTTCGATGAACTCAACGACGATTTGCGCACCTTTGAAACCCAAGTTCGCCCAGCGTGGCGTCAAGCTTGGCATTCCATGCTCGAGGGGCTTGCCGCAGCCCGTAGAGCGCTTTGCGCGATCGAGCACCTCTGCTCCTCTCCTTGACAATAACCACGGAGGTTGCCTGACGAAGACCGTTTTCACCAGCTCACCGTTGAGGAAGGCGGATTTAACGTCCAAGTGATGGACACGCCAGTCCTTTACTGCCGCCAAAGCAAGTACCAAACGGATCGACTCCATGCGCGCTACTGGCGCAAAGACCTTCTCGAAGTCGATGCCCTCGCGCGGGACAAAGCCTCGGGCGACGAGGCGCGCCTTGTGCTTGATAATGGCACCGAGCTCGTCCCTTTTGACTTTGTACACCCACTTTAGGCTGATCGGACGGCATCCGGGAGGTGGATCGACGAGTCGCCAAGTCTCGCTTTCCTCGATCGCCTTCATCTCCTCCAAAGCGCCGCCCGTCGCCCGATTTCCATCGCTTTCGGCTAAGCGCGAACGTGGGTGGTTCCTCTGCGGCGACGAGTAGCGGCTCTGCGTCGTTGAGCGACCTACCCGCCCGACACGAGGGACTGTCGCGCCGACGATGTCGTCCGAAACCTCGGAACCTCAACTCCTCACCTTCGTGGTAGGCGTCCCACGAACTCGGTGATGTCACTTGGAGGTGAGGTGAACTCGATCGGGAGTGATGGAGTTCCTTCTTCCGTCGGAGTGCCCTCGCATATCACCCGGCGTGCTCGGCATCGCTTCGGGCGCTCATTATCATAACTCCCGCAGTGTTCGGCCACACTTGTAGGAGTGCCTAGCCTCGATCTTGGAGTGGTTGGGACCACAAGAAGACGTCTTGGCTCTGCCATGGAGTGCTCGGCACCCGTCTCGAAGTGGTCACCACCACTGCGCAGAACCTCCTGCTCCACTCTGGCGTGCTCGGCATCCCTCCAAAAGTGCTCGACACTCCTCCGGAGTGCTCGGCATCCCTCCCAAAGTGCTCGGCATTTGCCCCCGGAAGTGCTCGACTCTACCACCGGAGTGCTCGGCGCTCCTCCCGGAGTCGCGTGACACTGTTCCATGAGCGTCTCCACCATCGTGGATGATCAAGTGCTCGACGACGAAGGTGTTGGGGAAGCCTCCTACTTCCCGTGCTCGGACTGCTCCGAGCCCCAAGCCGCCTCCTCGTTGAACACAACATCGCATGCGAGACAATCACCTTGTCTCCGCGTGGGTCATAGAGCCGGTACGCCTTGGTACCCTCCGCGTAGCCCAGGAACACCATGGGTGTGCTCCTGTCCTCCAGCTTGGTGAGGTTCGGCTTCATCTTCCTGATGTGGCCGATGCAACCGAATGTCC